TATTAGGTCCGACAACATACATGTATCTGTAAGGGGAAAGACCACATTGATAGACTTCGGATTAGCTACTTATCCTTGCAATGAGGAAAATAAGAAGTGCGATATTGAGGCTCTCGACGAGCTATTTTCAGATTTTCGTTGCGTTAGAAAAGAACGCGCAAAATGTAGACGTTTCTAGTAAGTTCCATATATTTTCTCCTGCGCAGCTCCATTTAATACAGCATGACTTTGACAGGAAATGAAATTACGTTAATGAAACATTGGAAAAATTGATAGTTTCACTAGGGATACTTACTTGAATCGTGAATCTACCCATATTTCTAGATTTCAAGTATTCGTGACTTAAAGTCAAATTGCAAAAGTCTTGCGAGCTACACTATGACTGGGTCAGATCTGTATAATCGCCCAACCAGAATTGTAAGATTTATTTCAATAACTAAATATTTGCATAGCTTATGTACATTTTTTTCATTTTATTATGTTTCAATAAAGTTCGTTACTTACTGAAGAGGTACTTCACTTACAAAATGACCTAAAAGTTAGTGCATCAATTGGCCAGGTAATTCTTCCCCATAACTCCAATGCACAGCTTTGGTTGAGTGCATTCCGCCAAACCTCAAATAGCTATTTCGCGACTAAATCCTGATTGTTTCCATTCATCCAGATGGAACTGAGTTACTTATGATTCATCAATTCCACCAGACTATTTCACCAGACTGCATGTACACTGAGAACCTTACTTGTAATTGAAAGGAATTTCATGAGAATACACCAAAAGCAAGACCATATTCTGTGTTTTGGCTTTCACATCAGTTCTTTCAGTATTGATAGTTTGGACAGAAATATATGATCCAGAGCTAAATTGAAAATAGATGAAGGTTCGGAAAATACAGATGGCACGATGGTATGCTGTCCTCATAGCAGGTGTTTGAAATAAGGATTTCTGAGCCTCGAGGACAAGGAATAAAAAATATAGTTATGTTTTGATAAGATATTTAACAGCCAATTTAGTGCAGCTGAAATAGTTTCGCTAACGACCCTAACAAATTTCTCACGACATTGTAACAAATAATTACAACACTATAGTACTACGATTGATGACATCAATGTACTTCTCAGGAAAGAATATTAATGAAATCTTCTATGATGACCCTGATAACCAACGCATCCACATATATCCATCCTTATTCATCGAGCTTATGTCTGATCGAGAGCAAAACGCAAGGGTCTTTTTAGACACTCCACTTTTGAAAATAAGGAGTTTAGATCAGCCCAAGTTATTACCTGCTCCAGAGCATATAATTAACAAGTTTTCAGCGTCGGTTTCGATTGGAAGTACGCCAGACTTGGCGGCACTTTATTATATCACTAATTTGATGGTAGCGGCTGGATTTCGAGATATTAGTAGTGATGAATTCAAGGATGACTTTCTTGCACCGCTAGATAGCGCTATCAAAGGTTCGAAATTCGTCAATAAGCTTTTATCAGATGAATACATTTATCCAATAGCGCAATCAAATAGCGAGGAATGGATTCAGCGATATTTCAATTGGTATATACTGAAAGCAATTAATAGTCTTTACTTGTTCACTTGCGGTAAAGATCATGCATTTGGGGGACCCCTGACTGTGAAGCCTTCTTTTACTAATGAGAAGCATTTACGGTTTAAGCCCGACATAATCCACTACCTGACAAATAAACTGGCTTCGTTGCATGAATTCCCTCATATATATTTTGGGTTGGGTGATTACAAACCAGAAAGCTATTGTTTATCGCAAGGATTTGAAGGATTGAAGACAGCTATAAAAGATTACAAGCAAAAACTAACGAATATTAGGCCATTGAGGGCGATGAAAGCTTCACTTTTTTTTGAAGATAAGGTTAAGAATAAGAGTAGAAGACAGGAGTGGACCCCGAGAGTGGTGTTTTCTTTGGTGTTACGGAAATACTTTTACCAGGCATTCCTCTGTGGTACCGATAGAGTGTTAATTTCTGATCATCAAACATTTTCTGGGTTTTTCAAATACAAAATTATAAGAGACGATGAAGTTGGCGACAAGATGGTTATAGACTACTACGTTATTAATGATCCTGAGACAATTGCAGATGGCATAACATTAAGGTCGGCAATAGCTGGGTTCTTTTATAATAGCGAGGAAGATGCACTCAAAACTATGGAATCACTAAAAGAAGTATATAAATTAAGATGCATAGAACAAGGTTCAGTGTGGAAAGAAAAAGATGATCCACTCCGTAATGTTGTACCTGAGCCTGCGGAAAAGTCTAAATCTGGGCCTACTAGTGGCAAAACGAGTGAAAAGTCTCATGGAAATCAGCTTAAAGGCAAACTAAAGCTGATTGAAGAAGATGATGACTATGATAACTTTGATGAAATCCGGGGAAACACCTACTGTCAAATAGTATACGATCCTGTCAAGGCTTTTCCTAGGATAGGACTGGCCCTTCCGTCGCCAGTATTTGTTAAGTTATACAATTATCCAGAGATGGCACGGGAACATTTTCCAAGACGGCAGAGCTACTACAATATGTTTATAACGGAATTTGAAATTAACGAAATGCTTGCGAAGTCTCAATTTGCTTCACATTATGCGAAGCTTATCATGTCTGGATACTGGAATGGNCTACCAAGCCATCCGATGCACATGTTTGAATACCTAGGAAAAGAGACGCCTATTGATGAATGGGACGAGAAAGTATATTTTGGTATTAAATCAAGACTTGGAGAGATACATCTGATGGAAATATCTCATAACGATATCAGGTCCGACAACATACATGTATCTGCGACGGGAAAGATCACCTTGATAGACTTTGGATTAGCGATTTATCCATGTAGCGAGGAGAATAAGAGTTGTGACATTGAGGCCCTCGACCGGTTATTTTCAGATTATTCCAATGATAATCAGAGTCAAAATAGCCCCGATAATGATTATTGGAATGATGATGCGAATTCCACGCACGAAGCAGTTTTTGATGAACTGATTACAGGGTCCGATGATACCCCGGAAACTACCAAGTTGGATTTCAATCAAAAGACTGATAATGATACGAGGAGATAATTAAGCATTCTGATATTATGTTATTTTGTTAATCGTTTCATCTATATATAAGGCTGATAAGTGAAGTATATAAGTCTTAGAGCGTTGCATATAGCCAGAGAACTAAATTGCAGCCACAGTAACTCTATTTGTCAAGTAGATTTCTCTTCTTCGCTAATATTTCTCAGAACTAAGTACGAGAAAATGATGGTGAATAAAGTCATCTATACATACATTCAATATAATAGCATTAGATTCGATATTTTTTTTAAAAAGGGAAACATGAAAATGATCGGCTTGGTTTAATGGTTTAACTGTAAGAGAGTAAACTACGTGATCATGAGAATGCAGTTGGATGTTTTTGAATAGACATCAATAACCATTTGAATGAAGGCTATTGTTCTTTAACGCCTGCTACACGAAGTAAGGTTCGTGCAACGTCGAACTTGACTATAATACGACAAAACAGTGAATAATGAAGGAACCAATATATTCCTTGGGATATAGTAGTCTTAAATAAGTGTATAGTTAGTTTTCTGATTGATGTGATCTCGAGTTGAGATTGAATAAAGATTTACTCTAATCCGGGGATTTATATAATTATGGACCTTATGAAACACAGAATATGGTATGTGTGCTAATTTATAGGGCATAATTATTTCAGGAGTTGATGGGCCGAATTATAAAACATTCTATTCACAGCCAATTTATAATTGGTTGAAATGGTTGCACTATCGCATTAGTTTTGCAGTAATGAATAAACAGGGATAAAGTCTGCTGCGAATAATTACAACACTATAATACTATTAATAATGTCATCAATGTACTTTTCAGGAAAGAGTAGCAATGATATCTTCTATGATGATCCTGATCATCGATGTATCCACATATGTTCATCCCTATTTACACTCCTACTGGACTATGAACAAAATGCAAGGGTCTTTTTAGACACCCCACTTTTGAAAATCAGGGGTTTAGATCAGCCCAAGTTATTACCTGCTCCAGAGCATATAATTCACAAGTTTTCAGCGTCGGTTTCGGTTGGAAGTACGCCTGATTTGGTAGCACTTTGCTATATCACCAATGCGATGGTAGCCGCTGAGTTTCGAGAGTTTAGTAGTGATGAATTCAAGAATAACTTTCTTGCACCGCTAGATACTGCTATCAAAGAATCGGATATTTGTGATATATTTTCGTCTCATATGTATTCTTATCCAGTAGCAGAATCAAATAACGAGGAATGGATTCAAGAATATTTCAGTTGGTATATACTGAAAGCAATTAATAGTCTTTACAAGTTCACTAGCGGTGAAGATCATGTGTTTGGAGGACCACGGACTATTAAGCCTTATTTTACTAATGAGAAGCATTTACGTTTCAAGCCTGATATAATTCACTACCTGAAAAATAAACTGGCTTCACTGTATGAATTCCCACATATATATTTTGGGTTGGGTGATTACAAAACGGAAAGTTATTGTTTACCGCAAGGATTTGAAGACTTGAAAGCCGCTATCAAGGACTACAAGAATAAACTATCGAGTACTAGGTTTTCAAGAAAGATAAAAGCTCCGCTCGTTTTTGAGAATGAAACAGAATGGTCGCCCAGAGTGGTATGTTCCTTAGTACTACGGAAGTATGTTTACCAGGCTTTTCTCTGTGGTACCGATAGAGTGTTGGTTTCTGATCATCAAACTTTTTCTGGGTTTTTCAAGTACAACATTGTAAGAGACGATGAAGCTGGTGACAAAATGGTTATAGATTACTACATTATTAATGATCCTGAGACAATTGCAGATGGCATAACATTAAGGTCTGCAATAGCTGGATTCTTTTATAATAACGAGACGGATGCACTCAAAACTATGGAGTCACTTAAAGAAGTATATAAATTAAGATG